CTTTTTCTGTCTTTTATGTTTGTCAGTTTCCCTTGTAGTATGATTCTTTATTTATGTAATTAGGCTAAAATTGTGCTGTTAGGTAATTAGGCTAAAATTGTAGATTCTTTGTTACTTTTTTAATTTTTTTAAAACAAATACTACTGATATTTTTAGTTTCAATACAGTGTTTGCAATTTTAGGAAACTTTTTTGGTATTATAGCATATATTTTATCAGCTGTTAGCTGTCAGTTCATTAATGTCTTCCTCAAAGATGATAATGTTTCTGTCATCATAATCTCCTCCACTAGATTCTTAATGGTTTTTTTCTCTCTCAAGAGTTTTACTTAAAAACATTTTTTAAAATTATCATGATTGTTTCTTGAAAAATGCATGTTGTTAGAAAAATAAGAAAGCATATGTAACTATACGTAAGAATAAAATTTGAAATAAAATAACATACAATGTTATTGCATAGCAATAACTACTATACTTTTAAAATAATATTGTGAACATTTTTCATGTCATTACCCATATTAATTGAGGCATATTATACTGTATTTTATTGTATGAATTAAATATATTTTATTTAAATAATTCCTTCTGATAGGTTATTTGTTTCATATTTTTCCAATGTAAGCAGTACTTCACTAACATTATTTCTGTACGATCCTAGCAAACATATTTATTTTCCTTAGAATCATATTCTATATTTATACTTATAGAAGTAAGATTCCTACTTTAAATGATATGTCAGTATCTAAGTTGGCTTTTATCTGCTTTTTTTTTTTTTTTTTGAGATGGAATCTTGCTCTGTCATCCAGGCTGGAGTGCAGTGGCACTATCTTGGCTCACTGCAACCTTCCCCTCCCGGGTTCAAGCAATTCTGCTGCCTCAGCCTCCCGAGTAGCTGGGACTACAGGTGCACACTGCCACGCCCAGCTAATTTTTTGTATTTTAGTAGAGATGGGGTCTCACCATTGTTGCCCAGGCTGGTTGCGAACTCCTGAGCTCAGGCAATCTGCCTGCCTTGGCCTCCCACAGTGCTGGGATTACAGGCATGAGCCACTGCACCCGGCCACTTATTTTGGGAAATTCTATAAATGACCTTTTTTTAAGCTCTGATTTTCAATTTTTTTTCCTTGTGAGTTTGGTTTAGAGGAGATGCCCTGCAATCTTTGTTACTATTATTATTTATTTATTTTTATTTTACTTTAAGTTCTGGAGTACATGTGTAGAACGTGCAGTTTTGTTACATAGGTATACATGTGCCATGGTGGTTTGCTGCACTCATCAACCCGTCACCTGCATTAGGTATTTGTTGTAATGCTCTCCCTCCCCTTGCCTCTGACCCCCTGACAGGCCCTGGTGTGTGATGTTTTCCTCCCTGTGTCCATGTGTTCTCATTGTTCAACTCTCACTTATGAGTGAGAATGTGCAGTATTTGGTTTTCTGTTCTTGTGATAGTTTGCTGAGAATAATAGTTTCCAGCTTCATCCATGTCCCTGCAAAGGATGTGAACTCATCCTTTTTTATGGCTATGTAGTATTCCATGGCGTATGTGTGCCACGTTTTCTTCATCCAGTCTATCATTGATGAACATTTGGGTTGGTTCCAAGTCTTTGCTATTGTGAATAGTGCCTCAGTAAACATACATGTGCATGTGTCTTTATAGTAGAATGATTTATAATCCTTTGGATATTTACCCAGTAATGGAATGGCTGGGTCAAAGGGTATTTCTAGTTCTAGATCCTTGAGGAATCACCACAACATCTTCCACAGTGGTTGAACTAGTTTACACTCCCACCAACAGTGTAAAAGCGTTCTGTTTCTCCACATCCTCTCCAGCGTCTGTTGTTTCCTGACTTTTTAATGATCACCATTCTAACTGCTATGAGATGGTATCTCATTGTGGTTTTGATTTGTATTTCTCTAATGACCAGTGATCATGAGCATTTTTTCATATGTTTGTTGGCTGCGTAAATGTCTTCTTTTGAGAAATGTCTGTTCATATCCTTTGCCCACTTTTTGATGGGGTTATTTGTTTTTTTCTTGTAAACATCAATCATTGTCATCTGCCAACCAAGACAATTTGACTTCCA